CTAGGAACTGCCTCAATCTCCCACCAGTTCTTCCCTGCCTCTCCCTTCTGTCTAGATTCACTTCAGTTTATTGTTGGGAACTGTGCAGGTCCAAGACCTGGACTCCTGCTTCAGCCCAGGCCAGTACTCCTTGTTTGAGGTGAAAGCCTTCAGTTTATCTCCCTGGCCCTTGTATGGAAGCAATGTGGAGTGAATGAGCATGTTTTGATTTAAGTAAGGTAGCTTGGAATACCTTTTTAAAAAAAACAACTGGATATAAATATGTCTGACAGGATTGGAATCAGACTATGTGATTTGCTTCTAAAGATTAGTTTCAATGAGTCCCAGGGACTAATTAAGGTTTATTTTTAAAAGCGTCTACCTTGGTACGCAACCATCTCCTGCATGCTATGCATGTTGTTGGGACTCGTATTACAGGAAGTGGCATGTGAGAATCCAAGTGGGACTCATGCTGCCATTCTCCTTGTGTTTGGTCTTCACTAGACCCAGGCCCCCCTCTGCCCTTCCTACCACCTCCCTATAGCCTCAGTTTCAGAAGCCAGTAGCCTCCAGCCACAGAATAATAGCATTCTGGGCTGTTTGAGAAGACCTGTCCTCCTGAGCTTATCCTTCCCATGGTGCTCATAGGAGAGCAGAGCACCTATTGTAGATCATTTAATGGGGCCTTGTTCCCACCTCTAATCTTTCCTTGTTGTCTTTTCTTAACCATCCTTCCTGCTTTTCCACTTTATTCAGTGTCTTCACTCTAAGGACTTTTCCTGTCACTGTGAACTTTGCTGGTTATCTGCCTTCAATTTTTGGACCACAAACCACCCTGCAGCTTCTTAAACCTTTCCCCAACCTACCACCCAAAAGAGCCTTTTTGGCCAGTTGTTAAAAGGATAGGAATAATTTTATTCTGTACTTGGTGCCCAAACTCATTTACCCCTTATAAGGCCAAGAGAGCCATAGGGGCATATGCCCAGGACAGGAGCCATGGCATGTGGCACAGACCAATCAGGGACCAGAAAAGAATGGTGTCCCTTTCCTTGCCATGTCCTTGAGCCTGTCAGCAATGAACTGACTGCAAGGGGACAGCACCTCTCAGCCTGCACAGCAGCTTGTCAGTGGCCAGAGACTAACATGCCCAGGTGTCGGCTCAGGATCCTAGCACCATCTTAAACAGGTGAGAGGCAGGGAAAGGTGCACCAGTGTGTCTTTCCCCAACTTTACATGGTGTTTTGTTAATGCAAATCTGGGAAGCAGGTGTGATTGCTTTTTGCTCGTAGATATTGTCCCAAGTTGAAATCCCCTAAGCCTCCCTTAGTAGCCTTTAAGTTTCCCCTTCCCTTTTTGGTAGCTGTTTTCTCTACCCCTTCTCCACAATTAAAAAAACAAAAAAAAAAAACAAAAAAACAGGAAAAAAAAACAGGTTGTATTATACAGGATCAATATTTTGCTTTTTAACAAGGATATTTATGTAATAAAAAAACTTTGCCTTAGGTAGGTGTTGGCCAGAAAAGTCCAGATTTCTCTGTGACTTCACCCTGGCCTCTCCTGGAGCTCTGAACCTGCTGTGGAAGGAAGTGGCTGTGACTTTGACCACTGGAGAGTGGGGTCTGTGGTGTGGAAAGGGTGTTCACTGTTTAACCTTGGACTGTGTGGAGTTGTTCTATCAACTTGCTTCAGATGTTACTTGGCGTCCTCCACCAGTTCTCCCGTGCGCACTCCGCATGTCTGGCACTAGAATTCCTGAACGCTATTCACACCCTCCCTCACTTCCAGTTGGTTGAAGCTCTAGAGCCACTCTTTCTTAATGCCAGATTATTTAAAGAAAGAAAAAATACAAGACAAAAACCTTCTAGCACTTTGTAAACACAGTGAATAACCTCTTGGAGTATTTTTGGCTTTATATAAAACAAGGTTTTTAATTGTAAAATATAAGTGCCATTAGAAAATGCACAGGGCATATCTTTGTTAAAGTAGATTTTTTTCAATGTTTTACAGAATTAATTTTCAAAAAAAAAGTTTTTATAATGAAGTTGTTTATTAAAAACTTCTGAATAATGTGCTTTGCAGTTTTGAACCTGTTTATTTGGGAAAGGTTGGTTGGGGTGAGCCAAAAATTGTGAAGAATAGGACTCTGTAGGCATCTCTTTAGCATCTGAAGTCATGGTAGGACAGTGAGTGAGTGGGTCTTAACTGAATATCTTTGAGGTAAGTGACTTCATTGTGTCTAATTGATATTGGATGTAAAGATCAGAAAACTCAGATCAGGGCTGGAGAGATGGCTCAGCGGTTAAGAGCACTGACTAATCTTCCAGAGGTCCTGAGTTCAATTCCCAGCAACCACATGGTGGCTCACAACCATCTGCAATGGAGTCTGATACCCTCTTCTGGTGTGTCTGAAGAGGGCAATGGTGAATACATAAATAAATCTTTTAAAAAGAAAAAAGCCCAGATTAAACAGGCTTTAAACACTGAAGTGTTATGTAACTGAAAATGGCAGAAGTCATCCAGTTTCCACACTTGTTTTGAGGCAGAGGCTCAAATGTGCTTAATCTCAGTATTCTTGGTTCTTTGCCCTCTTTTGTCTGGTTGTGATTGTTCTTAGGCCCTACAAAGGCTCTCCTTCAGTGTCTTGGGGTGGGTGGTGACTCTAGATGTCTTCTTCATGCAGTTCTGACAGGAAGAGAACCCTTGTCAGGTTCCCCAAGCCATATACATTTTGATGGCTAGGACCCAGCTTTACAGATCTGTGTTCAAACACTGGTAGTGCTTCCAGGCTGATTTAGGCTCACCCGACACTATTGCTTGGCCTGTCTCTTAACAAATTATTGTCATCCCAGGCCCCACTCTTTGCACTGAGATTTTCTCATCTAGGAGATTGGAGCCAGTGTCAAAGCCAAATGGTTACTAGGGAGTCTTGCCCTAGAGACTATTGAGCCAAAAAACAAATCAGTGTGCAGATGTTTGGTACACAAAGGCAGAGGGCTGATACTTTATCTCAGCCTCCCTTTTGACAGGTGTCCACTGTCCACAGCAGTGGGTCAGAACCCCAGTTACGGTTTTCTACTTTATCCTCTGGATGATGTATGTCCTAGGGAGGTCTAGGGGTTTCGGATGAGGGAGCTGTGGTGTCTTGATGAGAAGGCTTTATGGAAGAACATTTAGGCAGAGATAGGGAGCCATTCCAGGTACTGACCTGCACCACAAGTTTGGGGGCTGAGACCACAGGAATGCAGCCACACTTGGATTGTAGAGTGCAGAAACAGGCCATCCAGGCTCTTAGGCTATCCCAGACACAGCCCCTGACCAGAGTACCTCTTTTTTAAGAGTGTCTCTGTCCTAGTTTGCTTTGTTAAAATAGTGACCAAAACCAGCCTGGTAATGAAAGGGTTTATTTCATAGTACAGGTTACAGTTTATCATTGAGGACTTGGTCCTGGCCTGGAAACTGGACAAGGAAATGAGAATGAAGAAAGGACAGATGTGTGCATGAAAAACTGGGATTAGGGTGGTGCTCCCTCTGCTGAAGCCAAGCCAACTGCAGCAATTGGAACCTCCATGCATTTTATTATGTACAGTGTGAGAAGGAAGGGTTAGTTAGTGTTGGTAGGAAGTCTCTCTGGGCAAGCAGTCTCAGGTCTCAAGCTGTAAACATCTGGGGGTACAGGCTGCAATTAATGTTTTCTGTACACTTAACCAGCATTCCTACCCAGGATCAGAAGGCGTTGGCAGTTCCTATAGGTCTGAGACATTGATCCTTATCAGTAATAAACATTCCATCAGGGCCTCCTCTGCTCCACAGTGTTCAGCTACCTTTGTTACACAGCCCAGGCCCACCTGTCAAGCGATGATACTACCCATAATGGGGCTGTGCCATCCTGTATCAATTAGCAATCATGAAAGTGCCCCACAGGTCGGTACAATGGAGACAATTCCTCAGTTGGGTTCTCTTTTTCCCAGTTGTGTCTAGTTGATGACCAATATGTTGAGCAGTGTGGCCTCAAACTCATATATCATCTACTCACCCTACTCCCATCCCCCTTCTCTTGAGTGCTATGGCACCTCGTTTGGGACTGTTTTGTTTAATTTGAGTCAGGACCTCCCTTTGTATGTAGCACTTTGTTTTGGTTTTTTGAGATTTTGTTTCCTTGTCCTGGCTGGCCTGGAACTCACTCTGTAGATCAGGCTATCCCAAAACTCAGAGATCTCTCTGCCTCTCTGCCTCTCTACCTCTCTGCCTCTCTGCCTCTGCCTCTCTGCATGCTGGGATTAAAGGTGTGCAACATCACCAGCCAACATGTATGTAGCCTTCAACATCCATCTTTATGAAATGGCTGGTGGTGAGCAAAAGGGAGCTCTTGAATCTGGGCCATGTGAAGCAAGGTCCACCGAGTTTCAATCAACAATAGTCCAAGAGAATCCAACTCCTGTAGAACCCAGGTTGTTGACAATTACTACCTGGTTTGCAGCAATTTTAGATCTTTCCTGGCCTCCGATCCTTCTGGTGCCTTTCCAGCAGCTTTGTTGCCTGACAGTTATACTTATCTTTAGTTCCCACTTTGAATCTGGTAAGCCCTCGGCCTGTGCCAGAATAATACATCCTGTGCAAGACTGCAAGTGTCCTATCTGCCAGCCCTAAAGCTGCAAAGAGCCAAGGAAAGAAAATGGTCCTCCCGTGTTGTGCTGCTGGCTGTGATGCAAGGTTACAACCATGTCTGCGAATTGCGCCTGACTCCTAATGCCTGCCCTTTTCCTAGTCTATAACAGCCCTGCAGGTTTTCATCACCTGCCCTATTAACCTGGAACCAGTTCTGTTTGACACGGTTGGTCTCATTTTCCCGTCCCCTGCAGTGGAGGGACCCTAGCAAGTCACATCCGGCAGGGGGGTGAAAGGGGCGGAGCTCGCCCCAGAAAGGAGACCCTGCCTGCCGCCAGCATCTCAGCTACCGCGACCAACCACAATTCTACAGGGGGGTGCTCTCCTGGCCGCTCCAGCCTGAGACTCAGCAGGTGATGGCGGGCGAGGGGATCGGGGTTCTGGAGCTGGCCATGTGCCCGCCGCCCGTACAAGAGCGGGATGCACTCCTGGCCCGGTCCAGTGTCCCTGGAGCTGGGACGCCTAGGCCCTGCGACCCTGCAGCCAGCCCCGGAACCGCTCCGCCTTCCTCAGAAAACACTGGAGAGAACCCTGCCTCCTGCGTTCTGAACGTGGATGGCTGCGAGAAGGGCTCTGGTACTGGGGTAGGGACCAAAGGGAAGGCTGAGGAAGTGACGACTGAGGAAGACTCTGTAGCCGCGGAGGAGCCTGCGGAGGTTGGGGAGAAACTGGAGTGGGTCGCAGAGGCCCAGGCGAGGCTGAGGCCTCTGGACCTAGGAGCTCTCATCGTGGACCCTCTAGAGGCCATCCAATGGGAGTTAGAGACCATGAGTGCCCAGGCTGACCCGGCCCACCTCCAGCTGGCGCACAGGTTTGGGAGGATGCGTCGGTTGCACCTAGCCCGTAGGAGCTTCATCATCCAAAATATCCCAGGCTTTTGGGTCACTGCCTTCCTGAACCACCCACAGCTATCAGCTATGATCAGCCCTAGGGACGAAGACATGCTTGGCTACCTGTTGAACTTGGAGGTACGAGAGCTCAGGCACACCAGAACAGGTTGCAAGTTCAAGTTCCTATTCGGGAGCAACCCTTACTTCCAAAACAAGGTGATAGTGAAGGAGTACGAGTGCAGGTCCTCCGGCCATGTGGTGTCCATTGCTACTCGCATCCGCTGGCATCGAGGCCAGGAACCTCCGGCCTTGGTGTACAGGAACCGGGACACCGTGCGAAGCTTCTTCAGCTGGTTTTCGCAGCACAGCCTCCTAGAAGCTGACAGGGTGGCCCAGATCATTAAAGATGACCTGTGGCCCAACCCTTTGCAATACTACTTGCTGGGGCAAAGGCCCTACAGAGCTAGACGAAGCCTTGCAAGATGGCCAGCAGAAGCTCCGCCAAGGCCCTATGGGTTCCAGTCTGGCTAAGTTCTGCTCAGATGCTTGGTTTTTACATATGACTCTGGCTCTCTGCCTGTCAACCTACCTATGTCTAGACCAGTGCTCTGCTGTCTACTTTCTCTTCTGTGAATTCTGACTCCTCAGCATGTTTAGTGGACTCAGAGTCAAGGCTGTGATCTTCATGCTGTTCTATGTCAACATCATGTGATTCTCATACACCACTGTACTTATAGCAGGCACCCAATGCTATGGATTTGTACTGTCATCATGGGTATGGCCTGGACCCACATGTAAAACATGGCCTTTCACTCATTTGACACCATTACCAACAAGGCTTCACAAGGACTAGTTCCTGTTGGAGGCCTAGCTCTTCAAAGCTAGGCCTCAACTATGCTGCACCTGTCAAGTATTGACTGTCTCAAACTGAGGTGTGTCACCTAGGATGAAGTGGGTGCATTTGGTCCTGGTGGTCAACCAGACTTGGATATCCCACGGCTCGAAGACTATAGACAGAGCAGCTCCTAATACCTGGACTATGGAGGATCTGTAACCTGGACAGCCAGGTGATGAGACGTGGGCAAGGCCTAGGGCCGGAAGCAGTGGGCAGTGCACTACTACTGATCGTACTTCTCATCCTGTGTGTGTCCCTTTCATAGTCTGCTGTTGGCTTGTGAAGACCCCTGTTGTACCCTACCTACGCCTGGACATGGCCTTTTTGAGGAGTTCTACCTTGTCTACCATCATCCCTGTTGCCTGCTTTCAGGTCTGTAAGGGTCACCTGTCAATGTAGTGAGTGTTCCTGATACCACAGAGATTTTATCAGGCTGGTGTATCTGGGTGTGTGCTCAAGGTAGGAGTGAGGATGGGGGAGTCCTTTAAGAAGCCTCATTCCTAAGACCTACACAGAACCCAGACTTCTTGTCAGCTTCTCCCACACCTACCTGTTTTTAAGCTGCCACGTTGTGGGGCCTGGAGAAGGGAGGCTTCTGGTCGTGGGGCCTGTTTCTACTGGCATAGATCTCACATGGTTTTGAATGGGACAATTCTGAAACAAATAACTGAAGAGGCTTTTTTTTTTTTTTTCAAATAGCTAAGGAGATACTGTCTTGAATTTGCCTGTCTCCAGCGAGGAAGACTGAACTCTGAACGGACGGTGCTCTCTGCCTGCCTTGCTCTGATTTCTCTAGCAAGGCTTAGAATAGCCAGAGTGTACAGTGTCAGGCCAGGGCGGTTAATCACTTCATTTTACACTGTGTTCTTTTAAAGACACTTTAGTCTCCCCTTCTCCTCTGCCCCTACCCCTTGTGGGTTCCTATAGATGACAAGGTTAAGCTGCCCTGCCCCTCCGAGCCCCTTCCAGGTTGTATGTCTCATGGAAGGCCTTGCTTTCTGCTCCCTAGGGCATGGAGACAGGAAATGATGGACATGGAGAACCCTCAGGCTTGCTGGCTCGCTTTCTTTTGATTCGCCAATATATTTTGTAAATTAGAAGAGAAACATAATATTGCCACATCTTGGCTCTTTTCTGGTCCAGTAATGAGCTTGTATGGGCAGGAATTTTCCACTTAGAGCCTGTTAAATAAGACCCACACATTATCAACTTCTCTGCCTTTACTGAAAACTTGAGTGTACAGGCCTGCTTGTGTTTAGTTGAGGACATTTATAAGGTAGCTTTGCACCTTATAACTGCTCTGTACCGCTTGGATATGTGTGACTATTTACTGTTGTTACTAAGTTGTGGCCTGGCACTATAATTTTATCTTACAGAGTTTGAATCCTGTGATTTTGCAGGACTTAAGGCTGGGCATTGTTACTGTGTACTGTGAGAGAAACCCCCAGAGGAGACCCTGAAATGGATGGTCTGGATGCTTCTGGACTTCCTGAACCATATTACAACTGACCTGTTTCTAAATGGAGAAATATTCCCAGGTGACTTTGTGCAGAAAGAAGAGAGTTTATCTCCTACATTTATGATAAAGAATAAAAACCTTCTGATCTGGCAAAAAAATAATTTAGGTCATATTATTTCCTCTTCCAAAAGCCTCTGTTCATGAACAGGCAAGCAAAGGAACCTCCCACCCCTTATCACAAGTACCCAAGCCCTGCCTTTGCTGGTCCTCATGGGCTCCCCATACCTTCTCTCAGCTCAATGGTTTCTCCCCCCCCCACCCCGCCCCCAGTGCCCCTTGTCATTCCTGGGATGCATTAGACAGGTTCCAGCTTCTGGATTTTTGCACTTGCTTTTCCTCTTTCTGGAATTCTTCAGACACAAGTCTGGGTCCTTCCATTATTCAAGTCTCAACTTGAAACCCTTCCCTGCCCCCACCTTGGGAATTTTCTCTTTATTACACCTAACTCTGCAATGATGGTTTCCTGTCTTCTTTCTTCCCTCGCTCCCATGAGTCAGGAGAACAGAGACCCATCCCCCTGCTGCTTCGCTCCCATGGTTTCACTAAACTCAACATCTCCCCATTATCAGCATGGATGAGCGACTTTATCAGGGGCTGCTGAAGTGCTGTGTGTGTGAGGTTCTGACAAGATAAAGAACAGAGCACAGCTCTTGCCCAAAGGACTGCAGTTGGGTGGAGAGGGTGGAGTGATGAGGGGTGACTATACAATTTGTCATCCCACATATGCAAGTGAAAAGTCACTCCTAGAAATTACCAGGACAAGAGGCCACACTGGCACGTGATGCTCACTCCAAACAGAGGCTGTAATTCAGTCCAGAGTGGCTAGCAGCTCACCCGGCTGAAGCTGACAGGAAATGGAAGACTTTTCTGGTACAGAATTCTGAGGTTGGCCTGTTTGAATTTTTGAGACAGTGTCTCATTATGTAGCCTTGGCTTGCCTGGGACTTGTTAATATAGACCAGGTCGGCCTCAGACTCACAGAGATCTGCTTGCCTCTGCCTCCCAAGTGCTGGCATTATAGGCATGCCCCACCATGCTTGGCCTCAAGATGACCTTTGAGGACTAGGCAAAAGTTTAACAAGCAGTGTTCTGGCAGGGGACTGGAGCTCAGCGGGAGTACTTAGTAATCTAGCTTGTGTGAGGCCCTGGTTCCGACCTAGCAAAGCAAATAAATAAAAATAACATGTGAGTCTGGAGAAGGGACTTTCTGGCAGGGCAGAAAAAAAGTACAGACACGAACATATGAAAATGCAGTGTGTTGAACACATGATGTCTGCCTTCTGGAGACGCCTAGAGCTGTGTGGGTAAGTTGAAAACAGTGCGGGTGCCAGACCAAAGCTTTATTCTGTGTATGATAGGGAGATACTGGCTCACAGAGCAGCGAGCAAGGAGAGGCCAGTGCTACTCCAGATCGCCGTATCTTCAGTTGGCCTTATCTGCCACTCCAGTCTGTAGCTCTTCTCAGAAGGCTCCATAATTCCCACAGCCACTCTCTTCACTCTCAAGTACAATGTAAACTCCCAAGAACAACATGGACTTTGGCACCAGCGTCTGGCTTTGCTTCTACCATCCGGGTCTCCCCCACCCCTTCTGGTTTTTGAAGACAGGGTTTCTCTACATATCCCTGGCTATCCTAGAACTTTCCCTGTAAACCAAGCTGGCCTCGAACTCATAGATCTGCCAGCTTCTGCCTAGGATCAAAGGCATGTGCCACCACTGCCTGGCTCGTTTGTTCTTTTATGCCCCAAATCTGTCCTTGCTGTTTGTAGGGGAATCACTATAAAGCTTTGTAGGGACCAGCACCCAATAGGACTTGCCTGACTTGTGCCTGCTGGTTGGGCTACTCTGGCTCCTGCCTAAGTTTGGGCTTAGCAGCACTGTGCCCTCAGCTCCTGGGTGGCGGCACTAACGTGAAACAGGTGCTTTACCTATTGCACAGTCTGTTTCAGAGGTCTCTATTGGCTCAGCCGTGTGTCCTGCGCTTGTAGAGCATGAACCTTGCCCGCGGAAGGAACTCATGCTTCTGGCATGTTTATTTACCTACACATCTTAACACCCTCTCTGTTCTGGTCCCTTCCCTCAACTCATAGCCTCCTGCCCTTAGAGAACACCTACTGTGTGTTGGGAGTTCACGTGGCTACAGTAGCCACAGTGGCTCTCTAAGCCTGTGTCGTTCTGTTTCAAACCCTCCTGGGCTTCCTTACACAACAAAAGCAAACTGGCCCTGCACAGTCTGAAAGATCCTTAAGGCTGGCCTTGGCTTTCCCTCCTTCAGAAAGCCTTCCAGCCATGCAGGTCTTAAACCTGGTTTGAGATCTTACTTCCTGTTTCCTCTGCTTGGAATCTTCTCCAGACAACAGCGCACTTGTAACATTTGAAAAGGCAGGCATTTCACATCTTCAGTGAAACCTTTCTGGAAGCTGTCGTATCACATCCCCTTCCACACTGGCTGGTGTCTTGTTGGGAAGCTTACGCTGCCTCTGCCGCATGTTACTTTTGGTTGTTGCCTTGCTGTCTGTTGTTTTGTTTTTAGGTTTTTGAGACAGGGTTTCTCTGTATAGCCCTGGCAGTCCATGATGGAACTTACTTGGTAGACTCAAAGTCACAAAGATCCACCTGCTGGGCCTCCGGAGTGCCGGGACTAAAGACACACACCACCGCCTCCAGGCTACAACAGCACATGGTTAAACAGCTGCTTCCCTGGAAGTCTGGGGGCTTCTTCACTAGTGTCTCTCCTCAGCTGGAATCAGGCTTGGTACAGCTGGGAACTCAGTCATTCTACATAGACGGGCTTCTAGGTGGGCCAAACAGGTCACCTTGGCCAGGGGGCTATAGACAAAGACATGGATTCCCGGAACGCACTTCAGGGCATAAGTCTCTTGAGGGATAGGAACTCTCCAGGCAGCCTGGGAACTGGAGCAATAAAGGTCTACTCCCAACCCCTCCAGGAGAGATGGCTGTGAACATGGATGTGAAGGAGGCCAGGGTGAGCAGGGGCTTCTGCTCGCTCGAGCTCACTCAAGCACAGACGTGAGTCTGGTTTTTATCACTTCATCGCAGTTATCTGCCCTGTACTTTGGGCCTAGAAATAAAACTTGGAACAAGTTCCTTTCAATCTGAGGAAAATCTGCACCCAAACTACAGCAATTGTTCATAATCAGCAACTGCCTTAATTATAGCTCAGGGGACTTTGATATTTTCCTTCAGGGACACTATTTCAGCACAAAAATTCAAGGAAGTACCATGTACTGCAGCACAACTATTGATTGCAGCCGGGATCTGAATTCCCCACCTACGGCCCCATCAGAGCTGACTCAGGTGTGGGGTGCGAGTGCAGAAGCATGGGGAACGGTGGGGAGCCATGGGGTGGGAGGGGGAAGCTGTGGGGTGGAGGAGAGACCCTTGGGGAGGTGGTTGTGAGCTGTGGTTGAACTGGCATGAGTTGGGAGGCCATTCCTGCCTCCACTGGTCCCTACTGTGTGACCTCTCTTTTCACAGCCCTCAGCCAATTTCCTGCCCCAAAGGAGAAACTGGGAATTCCTCAGCAGAGAAACAGAGTCTTTTTAAAGTATCGGTCTTTAACCTGTGGGTTTGATCCCTGGGGTCACCTGAGATCATTGGAAAATACAGATATTTACGTTGTGATTCCTAACAGTTGCAAAATCACAGTCATGAAGTAGAAATGAAAATAACTTTATGGTTGGGGGTTGACATGGCATGAGGAACTGTATTGAAGGGTCACCAGCAGGTCCTAATGCTCACCTCCAGTCTTTCCGAGAGACTGATTCAGTGACCACACTTCTGGAGGCAGACAACAGGTCTAACCGACTTGTACGGAGACTGCTCAGGTAAGAGACGCTTGGGGCGTTTGGTTTATCAGCTCACTGATGTCTTCAAGGACTGGGACCTTGTCCTGTCTGCCATCCTTCGTGCTGGTTTCTATCTCCAATAAGAGCCAAGGCAGTAGCTGTCAAGGGTCACACTGGGACATGCTGGCAACTCCCATGATTCTGCTCCACAGGGAGACAGCCTTTTCCAGAGCCACTGTACTTTTCTGTGATTTGCTGGCTAGAAGTGGGTCCCATTCTGGACTCTGTTGAGGGGAGAGGGGAGAGGGGACAGGGGACAGGGCCCAGCAAGCTGTTCTAAGCAAGCATGGGGACTATCAGCACTGTTTACAATCTAGTCCTTCCTGGGAGCCTTCAGAGAGCACACGCACTGTGGTGGCCCTCAAGGCTACAGGGCACTGACTCCTAGAACACTCCTTAAGTGAAGTCACTACCAAACTAAGGATGTGGGTAGGGCTTTTTTTTTTTCTTTCCTTTTTAAATATTTTATATGTGGGGCTGGAGAGATGTCTCAGCAGTTAGGAGCACTGACTGCTCTTCCAGAGGTCCTGAGTTCAATTCCCAGCAACCACATGGTGGCTCACAACCATCTATAATGGGATCTGATGCCCTCTTCTGGTGTGTCTGAAGACAGCTACAGTGTACTCATATACATAAAATAAATAATCTAAAAAATTTTCATATCAAGATGCAAAAGGTGATTTTTAAGAGTTACTTAAAAAGCAGGATAGAGCAGTGGAAACTTGCCTGCCATGTGCAAGGCACAAGGTGGGGCCACAGAGACTGCTCAGTGGGTGACAGTTCAGCTGTGCAGGTCTGACAACCCAGGTCCAATCCCAGAATCCATGTGAGAAAACAACAACAAAAGCCGGGTAGTGGTGGCACACACCTTTAATCCCAGCACTGGAGAGGCAGAGGCAGGTGGATCTCTGTGAGTTCGAGACCAGCCTGGTTTATAGCGCGAGTTTCAGGACAGCCAGGGCTAACAGAGACACCCTATCTAGAAAACCCAACCAACCAACCAACCAACCAACCAACCAACCAACCAACCAACCAACCAACCAAATCAAACCAAACCAACAACAACCACAAAAACCAAAGCCAGATGCAGTGGCATAGAGCTTCTCACCTCTAAAGGTCAGCTAGCAGGGTAAGTGAGACAGGAGGATCACCTGGAAGCTTTAAGGACTAGCTAGTCTGGGCCGGGTGGTGGTGGCACACGCCTTTAATCCCAGCACTTGGGAGGCAGAGGC